ATAGATTAGATTTGATAGGCGCTGATTAGATTCCAATTGATCGATAGATGGTTACAACGAAATGTGATGAAATATCAACCGATTCTTACTTTATTATTATCTGCAACTGTTGACTCTCGATTTCACAGTTTTATCTTATCTGCGGTACATACTTCCAGCTGCAATCAAAGCAGTCTCTCAAAGTGTAACAGTAAATACTCGAACATTTTAATGGTGTAAATATTTTGTTTTCCTCATTTACCTGAGCTGAGCCCAGGCTGATTGTTTAGAATTTTGTGGCCCAGACTGTGGCTGCTTCTAAGATGGGAGTTCGCTTGCCATGCAAATTATTGCATTACAAATTGTCAAAATCCAAGTGGCAGGGAAAATCATGCAATTTTCCTCGAATGCCAGCTGACTTCCTGTTAACGTCGCCTCATCACACTCCCTCCCACTTCCTGCCACGCCTTCAGTCTCTCTGTTTTCGTGTCGCTCTTGATATTCCTGCTCTATGAAATTTTATGGCAGCCGCAAGTTTTTTAATTAGCTGCCGCACATTTTCTTGACATTTCCACTTGCTGCCATTGTCATCATCATTGTCATGCCTGTAAAATTGTGGGCGTGCCAGCACAGCGCCCACTGCTGGCATTTCGAGTGCTAATTGCATTTGCTGCTGTGTTTTTCGGTTGTGATTTTGAACTTTGAGGTTTTATGCCATAAATGCAATTAGCAGAAAGTTTTGCCATGAAAATGTTAATGGGGTTTTGTAGTTTTTGTTGCGCCTGCAACTCCAAGTGCCACGAGTCCATCGCCATCAAGTCAAATGGCTCTTAAAGCTACCTAACCGAATCTCTTAATTGAATTAAATTTATATCATGGCTACTTCAGCAGATGTTGCCTATGCGGACAGTAGCCAAAATCAACATTGAACGTATGTAACTCATGCATGTAAACGCACACACACAGGCACACACGCACACACATGGAGGCACATCCACATGCAATTTGTGGGCAAATATTTGTAAAACGTGTTCATCATCCTGTTGACAAGGTCGTTTACAAAATAAATTCACTAAACAAAATGTTTTTATTGGATTTAACTTGTTTATGCTAACGCAAGGTCAATGTGCATGTGAGTGTGGGTGTGTCTGTGTATCTATGTTGTTGCTGCTCGCCCAAAACTGTGATTTAATTTAACGCTTTAAATAGGCTTTTAGTTCAATTTTTATTTGCCATTGCTTTAAGCATTTAATAATCACTTTATATGAATTTTTATTTATGTACAACACTTAACAAATCTTGTACTTATTTTAAATTAAAATATTTATCTATACAACTTTGAATACTTTCAGCAAGTTGTTTAAATATTTGTTGTGATTGCCAGTAATATTTGGCAAGCGCTGCTTATAAAAGCTTGTATAAAATATATATATTGAATTTCTAATAATTTTTTGAAAATATTGATGTAGCTTTAAATCTTAAATTGAATATTTTTAAAGTTTTTCTAAAATTATTCTAGTAATTTTATATATTATTATTTTTATTTTTCATGAGATTTCAAAGTTTCGAATATGTAAGATATTTACATATATTCAAATTTTTTTCCAATTAAAAAAAATTAAAGAACGAATTAATAATTATGATTACATTTTCTGTACTCTTAAAGTCTAAATGAAAAAATTAAAATTTCTTAAAATTTTAGGAATATTTTATATTATATAAATTATTTATTATAATTTACATATATATTTATATAAATATAAATATGTTTAGTTACTAATGGCTTTTATTATTAATAATATGCTTTCACTGTTGCCTAGTTGCCTAGCATGATTAAAAATTTGAAAATATAACTTAACTAAAAATGCACAAAGTTTTATTAATTTAAATCACACTCTCAGCTCTTCAAGCCATAAAAGCCAAACGCTTGCTCCAAATATTGCTAATATATAATTCATGGGCTTCACTTTCGAACCATTTGGTGACTCATCTATCGAATGCTCTTAAATCTTTACGTTTTATTTCATTCTAAACTTTCATGCTTTTATTGCAACTTTTCGACTCTGTTGTAACAGTTTTAGATAAAATCTTTAATTTTAAATTATATTCGTAACTGCAAAGCGAATGCTAGCTAAACAATCAGAACATTTTAAAACTAACTTAAACTCCGACTTGAATCTGGTTATAGTCAACTTTACATGCTTCAAAATGAATTTAATATTAATCTCAGTAAAGTATTCAACGGAAGACTTCAGCTATTTATAAATAATTTTCTCATTTATTGCAATTGCGCCAGCTTGGCATTCCGTATGAATCTAAAGAGCGCCATGGAAAAGATGTTAATTAAGAGCGAATTGCATTACAATTGACTTGAGCAATTACCAAGCTTTTGGTTATATTGAGGATTTGCGCATCAGCTTGTGTTGAACCAACAAAGGCGAAAGCTAAGAGCCAAGAGCAACAGATAATAAGTCAGACACCTAACAGGCGAAAAGTGGAAACCCATTGAGCTCAATCAGCTTTTCAGCTTGGTTTCAACGCTCTGTGGAGTGCAGTCGTAGTCGCAGCCACAAGTTTATTTGCTCATTCAGCTCAATCACAGATCAAATAGCCAAGAAAAAGTGCTGCTGGGAAAACACCTGGCAAACAATTTGAACTACGTTCAACCTTTGAGCTGCAAACAACGCGTTGCGAGCCAGACAATTGGGGGAGGCGCCCAGCCAGACAATATAAATTGCCAAGGAGCAGAGAAAGAGGCTGGCTCTGATATAGAGTTGGTTGTTAGGCAAAGCTGGGCTTGTCTTCGCCTTTTGTTTTTCCTGCAAACAATTTGCCAAATCAAAGCCGCAGCAAATTGCAGATTGAACTTGGACTTGTGGCCTGGCAAAAAGAAGTGCATATGCATAACTCTCACCTGATTTTACCTGCTTTTAGTCGCTCCTTCCAGGTTGAGCACTAAGGCTAATGCAATTTGATGTGTGCCTTTGATTTCCCAATTGGATTTGCCCGACAATTCACCGACTCAAATTGAGCTACTTTTCGCATCCAAAAGATATTAATTGAATTGAATTTGAACTTTGAACACTCTGTGGAAATATATTTCTTTGACTAACATTAACTGGCTATGTAAATGCCATCAATTTGGCCATCGATGTGCCCCCAAAAAGATGATTTAAACAAATGCCACGCTGAGTGACAGTCAGGCAATCAGGCAATCAGGCGATGCGCTGCTGACAAGTAACATGTGCCAGGCGTTTGCTAGACATGAATAAATTACTGAATAAATATCATAAATTTACTCGACGCACATACACATATATAGAACAATATATTTTTAGTTGTTGATGGCCGTTGCCTGGCGCCCAAAATTATGCAGCGATAGCTTGTGAACCTGCCAATATTGTCTGAGCTGTTTGCCTGGTGGCACTTGTCAGACAGTTCTATAACTATAATATATATACTATATATATATATCGCCATAATCAGCAGCTGTTGACATCACATCCTTGCAGCTCAATCCACTTTTACTTCACAATACTTGAGCTCTGCTTGAGGACAGCTGCTGTCTGTGAGGAGCAACTTTTTTCACCTTTCGTATATATTTCTATCTCCATGCAGCCAGACGTTGTATATTGAGCTCAATACAAAGTATTAAATGCAAACATTTTCACCTACAATGAGCTTGATTTAATTAGCTTCATCAAATTTGCATGTCTGATTGCATTTGAGCCCGTTAAACGTTCAAATTAAATTGCAATTAAAACGACTTCAAATTGAGAATTTGATTTACTCCTACAAACGTGACTGCTGCTTATAGCGCTTTGACTAAAGTCTAGTAAACTTACTTAACGAACTTAAATAACGAAGTCATTATATGAGAAAAGAGTATATTGGCTTTGTGCAGTGCGTATTTCAACGCTGTAAGTGATAGACATTTCAAATTATAAAATTTATTCTCGGAATACTCTCGTCTAAAAATATGTTTGTGTGAAAATTGTGTTTACGCTCGCCAGGCGCGTGGCATTTCCTTTATACCGTATATCAGGGTATAATGGAAAGCGCATATAAGAGGCAGATGGATTCTTGATTAGGACGAGCCATGTCAGCCAGCTCGTCTATCCGTCTGTTCGTCTGTTCTGTCCTCCTCATATAAACGCAGCTATCTTGTAAGTCACAAAAGCTAGAGACTTAAAACTTTAAATATATATTCCATAATACCACACGCTGTACAAAGATATCGATTGTTCCAATTTTTTTATTATCATTAATATTAATATTAATTAATATTAATAATCAAACTTGATTTATTTCTGAAAATTTATATTAAAAAATAATAATTTAAACAAAAGTTATGCTACAATTAGGTTCACATAGTGAAATCGAATGGCGAAACTCAAGCTCTGTATTCACTGTGAAATGGTTGGAATATCAGCTATTCACAGTGTTCAGGATATCTCCTAGTTGCGTACACCCGACTGGAGAACTCTTAATTGTTAAAGATAGAATTTTGAACTTAGACTTTAAAATTTTAATTACTATGGTCATTCTGTAAAAATAAGCGCATGACACTTCGATACAAACTATAAAGAATTCCCAAGACATTTAGGAGGATCCCTTTTCATCCCCTCTTCAGCTATATTCGTATTATATGTTGTGCTCCTTGGAATGTGCCAAATCTGAATTTATTGTTCTGTATTCATTTGGAAACTAAGTATAAGAATTGTAATTTGGAATATAATAAAGTCAAGCCTTGGCTGAAACTATAAACAGTTTTATCAACGCCCATTTATGTATATCCACTTTTATATCTTCATCTGAATATTTTCAGTTTCAGAGCTGCAACCGCTGAAGGCAACAGCCAGTAAAATATTTTGATATGAAAAAATCATGCATACAAGGGCTTTACGCTTTTGTGTTAAAATGCCACTGAACAAATAGTATATGTGCATATTAACATAAATATTATGTGTAGCAATATCAAATTAAATTAATCATATTTGTTTTTTGTAATTTTAATACTCTGAAATCCTTTTAATTTACATAAAAAAAATAAATTAACAAACCAGTTGAAATAATGAGAATATAATTGTATTATCACTCCACCGACTGCCCACATTGTCATGGACTACTGTATCATTGTATCTCAGATCTAAATGAAAAAGGTGTGCACACAATTTGTGCATTAAATGATGAGTCAATTGATATGCGAGAGCTCGCTGTGCACGTTTACTGCTGAGTGAAATGCCCTTGAAAGTTGATTATATTTCCGTCATTGGCGCGGCTCAAAGTCTAGCCAAATGCCGCCTTTCAGGGTCGTGATGAACGCCGTTGGCTCATATTCGTTATCTGTGCGCGTTTTGGGATTGACACGAACATTGAACTTGGTAAGCACCTCGACGAGAGCACCCTTGATCTGTGTCATTGCAAAGCGCATACCTGGAATCAAGCAAATACAATTACAGCTCACATATAAGTGAGAGAGCTTTTGCCTTACCTATGCAAATCCGCGGACCATCGCCGAAGCCCATGAAGACTCCTTGCTCCCGATACTTCTTAGCAGCATCGGGTTGCATGAATCGTTCGGGTTGGAAGGCCTGGGGATTGGGGAAGAACTCCTCATCCAGCATGAAGCTGTAATGGGGCACAATGACAGTAGTGCCACGCTCCACTGTGAAATTCTCGCCCTTTTTGTTAGGCAACTCAATCGGCTCAGTGCATAACTTATTAGACATAAAGACAGGAGGAAAGATGCGTATGGATTCTGAGGAATATAGATTCTTAGAAATACTTATAACAGACTGCTTATTCCCACACACCCTGCACACATGCATCCAGGAAGGGCAACTCGTTGAGCTTCTCAAAGTCAATGATGCCCTTGGCATTGAGATGAGCCTCCAGCTCCTCGCGCAGTTGCTGTTGCACCTGCTCATCCCTTCCAAGCAGCAAGAGCAAGTGACTTAGCACTGTGGCTGTTGTTTCGAATCCATCCAGCAGGAAAGTCATTGTGTGCGCGGTCAAGTGACGTGTATCCAGGTTTTTCTTGTTGCCCAGCTGCAATATGTAGTCTAGGAAGTCAACGCGTTCAAATTGCTTTCCAGCAGCCAGTTGCTGCCGTCGTGCATCAATCGCAGTTTGCATCAGATTCACAAAAAATGATTCAATACGCAATGGCACAAAACGCATCTTGAAGATATTTCGAAGAGCAGGCAACGTGCTGACTAGCACAAAATATATGATAAAGGTCCAGGGCTGCGTGAAGAGTTCCTTGATGTAGCCCATAATTGGTGAGGGTTTGTCAGAAAAGCTCTCGGCCTTTAGGCCCAGCACGCAATCGGTGACCATTTCGGTTGTGAAACGTAGACTGAGCTACAGGGACAATATACCTAATTTTATTATATCCACTAATTTATTTAAATAGACTTACATCTTTCGCATCTATGCCCTCAGGTGGAGCTAGACGTATTTGCTTGCGCAGCCATTCGCTCATCTTTTGGCATACCTCATTTGTAACCGGATAAACCGTCTTAATCTAGAATTAGAAATAATTTCTAATTTAATATTCTTGAAAGTTTTATAGAATCATTCGACTTAGTTAAGCCTTTGTGAGGTTTTTAGCTTGCAAACAAATTTCTGTAGTCCAACTTACACGACCCATGGTTAATCCGGGAGTAACATCTGCGCGCCGTTGTTTCCACTCATCTCCGACCAGGATAAATGGATTATTGGCAAATATGAAATCGGATTTCTCGTCCACCATTAAAGACATCTCATTATCGTGGAAGTGCTTGAAGTCGGAGACGAAGACACGTCGTGCCAACTGCGGACTTATCACTAACAATTGTGGACTGCGAGCTCCATAAATGCCAACCGCATCGAACTGCTGTTTGTTTTGACTTAGGTCCAAGCGTATGGAATAAAATTTCAATTATATTTTTTTATCTTTACCTTTTCTTTAAAATTTTCAGTCATTTACCTATAGATTTCATTGAGATCGTAGACCACGTGACGTTTCATGTTATACAGGTGCGGATAGTTGCCTGTGAGAAAGCGAGGCGTTGGACCTGGCACTTTACGCTTGCGCCAGAATCCGAAATTCCAAGTCATGAAGACATAGAAGAGGCCTACAAGTAGCAGCAGCAAAGCCAAAGTTATCTCCAGCATGGTTTTTGATTAACGATGTTGCTCGAGTAACTATTCGTAATTGACTGTAGCTGAACGAGTTCCCAGCTACATGTTGAAGCCCACAGCCACAGAGCTTTCGGAGAGTCTCTGTGTGGCTCTCTGCTGATTAGATGTACACTCACGATTCTACATTCTCACACTTTATCCAAACACTTATTTAATTTGAATACATAGTATATAAACACTGATAAAGCTTATCAGTGTCCAGCGGCTACATGAATGAATCAATTTGCTCCGTACCTCTAAGTGGAATGGAGATTTCGGACCACATGCAAAGTAAATGATTTTTCCGCAGTCATTTAGAATGGGAATATATCTCATTCAAAGGTGAACTGTATTATATTTATTATATATATATATAATACTGAAGTTTCCCCCAAAAAGTCATAATATCTTCTCGCGTATATTAATTACAGGGAATTACGTAGTCGATCTCTTTCGGTTAGGCGCTTCTACATTGTTACTCGTAGCGCAACACTTATAAAATTAAAGCATGCAACATTAAATAAATAAATATAACCTTGAACTTGATAACGCTATAGATACTGTAGAATATAATACATAGATTTTTCATCAAACAAATTTAAGATCTTACATATTTGATAATTAATATTTTTTTAAAACTATGAATTCAAATAATTCTTGAGAAGCTTAATATAAAACACCCAATTGAGTTGCTTTTATAGGGTATAAACTTGTTTTACGTTTTTTAATGAACTCAAAACAACGCCCAATTGACGCTTGAGAGAGCAAACGATGTGCGAGAGGCAGAAGAGAGGAAGTCAACAAATGAGTATGGAGCAGTGGAACTGTAGGCATTGCGCTTGAGAGGTTCCTAAACAGATGTGTACGAAAATAGAATATTGATAAAAACGTCGCAAAACTGAAAATCTGATTGAGGTAAAAAATATATAAGTTAACGAAAAAAAAATAATTAATGAAAGAAATAATTAATTTAAAAATAAATTTATAATAAACAAAAATGTTAAAATATAATTTTTTCATAAATATATAATTTAATCTATGACAAAAAACAACTAAATACATAAACAATTAGAGAAATTTGTAAGTAGACATTAGTATAAGTCAGCTTTGAAGTTTAGAAATGAGTTGTAAAATTAGTTCTCAGACAAGTATGGTAGACAAGTATCGTAGTATTAGTTGTACAGCTGTAAGAATATTATTAGTAATAGTTGAAGTATTGGTGAAAGAAATAGTAGTAGAAGTAGGAGAGTAGTAGAGTAGTAGTATAGTAGTAGTAGAGTAGTGGTAGAGTAGTATTAGAGTAGTAGAGTAGTAGTAGAGTAGTAGTAGAGTAGTAGTAGAATAGTAGTAGAGTAGTAGTAGAGTAGTAGTAGAGTAGTAGTAGAGTAGTAGTAGAGTAGTAGTAGAGTAGTAGTAGAGTAGTAGTAGAGTAGTAGTAGAATAGTAGTAGAGTAGTAGTAGAATAGTAGTAGAATAGTAGTAGAATAGTAGTAGAGTAGTAGTAGTAGAAGAGTAGTAGAGTAGTAGTAGAGTAGTAGTAGAATAGTAGTAGAATAGTAGTAGAGTAGTAGTAGTAGAAGAGTAGTAGAGTAGTAGTAGTAGAAGAGTAGTAGAATAGTAGTAGAGTAGTAGTAGAGTAGTAGTAGTAGAAGAGTAGTAAGAGTAGAAAGAGTGTCAGTTGTAGTAGTAGTAGAAGAGTAGTAAGAGTAGAAAGAGCGTCAGTTGTAGTAGTAGTAGAAGAGTAGTAGAACTATAAGTAAAAGTAGTATGAGTATCAATATGTATAGTAGAATAAGAATCATACTCACAGTAGCACCAATGACACGAGAATTACGAGTTATATTAGTATTTGTAACACACAAACACTCCGAATTCTGTGAGTAAATCTATTCTCACTATAAATTGGGTGCGGTGTCATACAAAGCTTTTGTGGTCTTGTCTAATCAGAACAAAGCTCAAAAAGCTCTTTTCCCATAAATGTCACTGGACAGTTGAAGATCTGCCGAATCACAGTGACTAAGAAGTATTTTAATAATAATTTATTTTGGGGTAATAACTTTATTTGATGTGCTTACTATATTTTAAGATGAGCATTAAAATTAACAATATGGAGTAGAGATTTCCAAAGCAGGAAATATACATTTTTAGTATATCCATCATCGGAGAAATCTACATACTAAATTGTGTCTCAAGCTGCTTCTATCTTAAAGTTATGTTCAAAAAATTTGAATTGAAATATCGATCGGGCTTTATACCTATATACTATGTCTAGTTCCTATCAGTTAGTGTTATAAATGCTGATATATTTATTAAATAATTGCTTTTATCGTTCTACCGACTTTTACATTTTTCGATTGCTAGCATACGGGGGCTCGTATCAAGCGTTTGAAATTGATATGTGAGAGCCCGTTGTAAGCGTTTTCTATTGAGCGAATTGCCCCTAAAAGTCAATTTGTCATTTACGCTTTATTGACGCGCTTCAAAGTCCAGCCAAATGCCGCCTTGCAGGGTCGTGACAAAGGCCATGGGATCATATAGGATATCCTTGCGGGTCTTGGGATTAATGCGAACATTAAACTTGGTGAGCGTCTCGACAAGAGCAGCCTTGATCTGTATCAATGCGAACCGCATGCCTGCAATAAATAAAATTAATATATGTATATATTGTGTGACATAGTATATATAAACAAAGCTGGTCTCACCTATGCAAACTCGCGGACCATCGCCAAAGCCCATGAAGACGCCTTGCTCCCGATACTTCCTAGCAGCATCGGGCTGCATGAAACGCTCGGGTTTGAAGTCCTGAGGATTGGGAAAATATTCCTCATCCAACATGAAACAGCAATGGGGCACAATGACCGTTGTGCCACGCTCCACTGTGAAATTCCCGCCCTTTTTGTTGGGCAACTCTATCGGCTCAGTGCATAGCTTACTGGCCACAAATAATGGAAAGAGACGAATGGCTTCTGTGAAATGAGATTACTTTGAAATAATTTCATTTGTATGAAAACTTTAACTCACCCTGCACACATGCATCCAGGAAGGGCAGCTCGTTCAGCATCTCAAAGTCAATGATGCCCTTAGCATTGAGATGAGCCTCCAGCTCCTCGCGCAGTTGCTGTTGCACCTGCTCATCCCTTCCAAGCAGCAAGAGCAAGTGACTTAGCACTGTGGCTGTTGTTTCGAATCCATCCAACAGGAATGTCATTGTGTGCGCGGTCAAGTGACGTGTATCCAGGTTTTTCTTGTTGCCCAGCTGCAGAATATACTCTAAATAGTCAACGCGATCGAATTGCTTTCCAGCAGCCAGTTGCTGCCGTCGTGCATCAATCGCAGTTTGCATTAGGTTCACAAAGTAGTGCTCGATATGCAATGGAATTAAGCGCATCTTGAAGACTTGTCGTAGTGTGGGCAGAGTGTTGACTATCATAAAATACATGATAGAAGTCCACGGCAGAGTGAACAGCCCTTTGATGTAGCCCATAATTGGTGAGGGTTTGTCAGAAAAGCTCTCGGCCTTCAGGCCCAGCACGCAATCGGTGACCATTTCGGTTGTGAAACGTAGACTGAGCTACAGGGAGAATATACAAAATTCTATTATATCCACTCATGTATTGAAAAGGACTTACATCTTTCCCATTAATGCCCTCAGGTGGAGGTAGACGTATTTGCTTGCGCAGCCATTCGCTCATCTTTCGGCAAACCTCATTTGTAACCGGATAAACGGCCTTGATCTGAAGTTAGAAATTTTTGGAATTCAATATAGTTGTAGTCACAGCTAAAAACTTGAGTTTTTTCAAGTACAAACTGACACGAGCCATAGTTAATCCGGGAGTAACATCTGCGCGCCGTTGTTTCCACTCATCTCCGACCAGGATAAATGGGTTATTGGCAAATATGAAATCGGATTTCTCGTCCACCATTAAAGACATCTCATTATCGTGAAAGTGCTTGAAGTCAGACACGAAGATGCGTCTTGCCAACTGCGGATTTATCACCATCAGTTGTGGACAGCGTGCTTTGAATATGCCAATCGCATCGAACTGATGCTTGTATTGACTGCAGTTAAATCATATAGAATTTAATATCAATTCTATCGAACATTTTCGAAAATTTACCTGTAGATTTCGTTGAGATCATAGATTGTGTGACGTTTCATGTTATACATGTGCGGATAGTTGCCTGTGATCCAACGTGGCGAAGGACCTGGCACATTTCGCTTGCGCCAGAATCCATAATTCCAAGTCATGAAGGCATAGACGAGGCCCAGAAGTAGCAGCAACAATATCAAAGTAATTTCCAGCATGATTTTTTATTTGACGACCTTAACCGACATTCAACTGACTGCAACTGAGCAATTTCTCAACTAGACGTTGTCGACCTAAACTACAGAGCTTTCTCAGTGCCTCATGGCACATTCTCATTCTATATGTAGAAATTCATTCAATTTGAATATTTTATGTTTATTGAAAATATGCACTGGAGCATCCGATCAGCGCTCAGTAAATATTTTTTACTTATACGCTCTGCACATTCAGCCAAGCATGTTGAATTCGTAGGTAGAAAGCCCTCAATAATGTTAAATTGGTGTAAATTAATATTAATTGCGCTGTATTTAGATGTATTTCATAGTAGATATTTTCTTGTTTAAATTCCTCAATTATCAATATCATTACCATACTTCTTTTTGAATGCTAATTAGAGGGAATTACTAAGTCAAACGCTTTCGGTAAGGCGTGTCAGCTTTGTTATTCGTAGCGCAACATTTATAAAATAAAAGCACGCGAGAGGTCCACAATCAACATTAAATAAATAAATACCACCTTGAACTTGATAACGCTGTAGATACTCTTTAAATATTATATTTTTAGAACTATATAATATAGTTATGTATATTATATTTGTATTATAATTATTAAAAATATTTTATTGCACAGTGCGTGAATATCTGGTGCAGATTGAATGAAATATTAAATGAAAAAAAAATTTATTATAAAAGTTTGTCATAATTTATTTTAAATTAAATTATTTTAAAATGTTAATTGACTTTCTAAAAATGTATTCTGATAATGTTATTAATAATATTAATTTGTAACAAATAAAAATTCAAGACGATTTAAAGGAAAATAACCAAATGCAATCGTTTCTATAGGGTATGAACTTATTTTACGTTTATTAATGGATTCACAACAACACGCAATTGACGCTTGAGAGAGCAAACGATGTGCGAGAGGCAGAAGAGAGGGAGTCAACAAATGAGTATGGAGCAGTGGAACTGTAGGCATTGCGCTTGAGAGGTTCCTAAACAGATGTGTACGAAAATAGAATATTGATGAAAAACGTCACAAAACTATCAATCTGATTGAGCTGAAAATAAATAAATAATAAATGCATACATTAATAATACGATAATGATAACTATCTTGATCTAAAATAACTATCTTGATATTAGTAGCAATAGTTAAAATAATAGTAATATAAGTAGCACAAGTATTAGGAAAGCTAGTATGACTAGCAGCAGTAATAGCAATAGTAGGAATAATATTAGCATAAGATTAATATTTATTGTAATCGTTGGAGTAGTTGTTAAATGATGAACAGATTTAAAGGAAAATAACCAAATGCAATCGTTTCTATAGGGTATGAACATGTTTTACGTTTATTAATGGATTCACAACAACGCGCAATTGACGCTTGAGAGAGCAAACGATGTGCGAGAGGCAGAAGAGAGGGAGTCAACAAATGAGTATGGAGCACTGGAACTGTAGGTAGAGGTTCCTAAACAGATGTGTACGAAAGTAGAATATTGATGAAAAACGTCACAAAACTTTAAATTTGATTGAGCTGAAAAATAAATAATAAATGCATACATTAATGATACGATAATGATGTAATCTCTGTTACCTTATTAAAATAACTATCTTGATATTAGTAGTAATAGTTAAAATAATAGTAATATAAGTAGCAGAAGTATTAAAGAAAAGCTAGTATGACTAGCAGCAGTAATAGCAATAGTAGGAATAATATTAGCATAAGATTAATATTTATTGTAATCGTTGGAGTAGTTGTTAAATTATGAACAGTTTTAGAGTAGATTTGTTTGTAGTAGGATAAGCAATAGTAATTGTCTCAGAAGTAGTAAAAATAAGTAAGCTAAAAGTAGAATAAAATAGCAGTAGATGAAATGATAGTAATAACATGTAAGCTAACAATAGTAATACAGCAGTAAAGTTGTAGTTAAATAATTATAGCAGGCAGAATAATAACTATTGTAGTCGTAGAACAAAACGAGTAGAAATAGTAGCATAAGTAATAGTGGGATTCGTAACGGAAGAGTTAAAGTTATATTGGTAGTAATAGTTATAGTAATTCTATAAATAGTAGAAACACAATGTTAAAAAAATACGAGTACAAGAGGCAGTGTTAATATCGAAATGTAAATAATATTAATATGAGGAAAATCTTCGTTAAAAGAGTAGAAGAAGAATAGTGCTCACATTATGCTCTCTATATATTTGTGATCGATAGCTTTTTAAGGTCTAATTTCATAAGATCAAAGCTCAAAAAGCTTGCCCCATTTAAATCTCAATGAACAGTTCCTGAACTATTGCGTCACAGTGAACTGCAAATAGACAGTTTGTGTGGCATTATTGTAAGCTCGCTTAAACTAAGTAGATAATTGTTACCTCTAGAGTTTTTATAGTTAATGAAATCAAATACGTTTATTTCTTTTTTTTTGGTATTCCTAATAATATTTCATTTATGAATTCGTGAAAACTTTATCTAATGTATGCAGCATTTTCATCTAATCTAATATCAATTCCTTGGTTTACTTAAATAACAAGTGTAGCTAAAAATTGGGTAATTGTATCACTTATATGAGTATCATATTGGCGTAAACAATTTTCTATAATCTCCGCTTATTTGGCCTACTCAACCGAAATAGAACACTTGTAATTGGGCTTAGTTATAAAAGTGGCTGAAGATTGCTTTTCTACGAATTCGTGTTAGTGATTGTGCGCACTGGTCAATGGCCTCCTCTCTGCACAGTGTCCTTTATTTACAACCATTTATTGAAATTATTATGCGACAAAGTATCTGTGCCACGACAAGCCCTCAATAGCGTCCGGAATAATATTTATGGCCATTGCAGCAGCCGCAATCGACTGGCTCCTTCCAGCCGCACAATGCACTTCTTGGTCGGCACATTTGTCATGTGTTGTGGCCGGGCTTATTAAACGGCTTTTAAGCGCCTGGAACCAAGCACAAGCAGATTTATGTCCCTGTGGCCGAGGCGCTGCGACTCCAAATTATGCGCCATTTTAAGACGTCCATTGGCATTTACAGTGTGGACTAGAAATTTTATTACTGTGCTAGATTTTGGATAATGCTGTGGAAGATAGTAAACAGTTTTGTGTGAGAAAAAAAAATTTAGAATGAACATATAAATGCGTAAATAAATAAATATAAATTGCTAAAGAGTAAGAGTGTTGTTATGAAATTTTCCATAGTGAATAATTGGGATACCAAACTCTCAGGCTATGCTTATGATAGACTTTTCTATGTTTATATTAAAGAGTATTAGATTAAACTAATTACTTATATTTCAAATTAAAATAATATATCAATAAAGGGGTAAGAGAGATGTGATATTAGAAATGGGAAATATTCATTCATGAGAGCTTCCAAACTTCTCTGTGTTAATCCGAGTGTAAAATTTAAGTGTCACTGTTTCCATTTATAGCCGCTCATGCAAAGCCGATTGTTTAACTTCCGATCCATCACTCAAGATGTCTCCTTACAGTGAAAGACTAAGGCGCGAATATCTCCCACTCGGACACTCCTGACTAGAGCAGAAAAACAAGTAAAAGGTTTTAAAGGCAGCGACTTTGCTTCATATACATTATGAGATTTATTAGAAAAGATTACATTTGCTCTTTCTCATTGGTGTCTGTGAATTGAAATTGGTGTGAAGTGAATTTAAATCTTCTGCTTTTAGTATCTTCAAGTAGTGTTTCAATATAAAGATTCTTAATAAGCAGCAAATGAAATGAACATATATATATTTAAATGTCTCTAGTTTTTATAGCTTACGAAATCCCTGGACAGATGGACCCAGTATATATACTGTCTGCCACACCTGCTTCTGCCTATTACATACATTTTCACAGACACATAATACCTTGTATACCCTTCTACAAGGGGCTTAGATTATTAAGAGTGCATATTGTATAGACACAACTGAAGCTTCTCAGAGTTGTATTCACTGTTGTGAGAGTCGTGGCTTACTTCCAGTCAGCTGCTTAGGCTAGGTATCTAACAAGTGCTGTCTATATATAAATGTTTACATTTTTATCTTAGCTTCCTTTGGATTACATGCAAACATTGTCTGGGTTTGTTTGTTTTCTATGTTCATGCTTGGGGAAAGCTAAAATATTTATTATTTAAACATTTTTGAGGGAATTTAATGAACTTGGAATAACACCTTTCTAACAACACCTTTAGATCTATAATTGAATTATTTAACAATCATATTGTTCCAGTTCTAGTTGAAGTTCTATCTTAAAGTCAACTTAAATCTATAGTTCGACCTACTGGCCCACACAACAATATCTATTCACACGTTGAAACCCAACTCAGAGCCCCTGCGAGGGAAATGCGCAATTTATGAGGCAGCTCACTTAACTTGGTCAAAAACAAAAACAACAAACAACAGGAACGGAAAGGAAGAAGCAAACAGTACCGAAAGCTGTTTATGTGCTTCGAACGTGTTTGGCTTCCATGACATTTACCGTAACACGCAGCTCGTCCATTTGTAACACACACACACATAAATTTATACACATGTAAAAGTTAATATGTCTCTCCGAGACTAACAGGAATGCGGCCCAAATTAAGATGTTGCCTATGCTAAATAATCATTGTGTTTGTTCACAAAAAAAAAAAAAAAAACAAACAAACAAACGATGTGAGGCTCACAAAATGAGCTGGGTTAAGCCGCTTTAAAGCCGTAGCTGACTACGGAGCGCCTGTCGGGGCCGATAACACAAACCAACAGTAATTAGAAAGCGAGTCTAACAAGTGTGGCCACAAAAATATTCCATGCATAATTAAATAGCAAATTAAGCATTATCAAGTTGCCCAACAGCCAAGCAGCTACCATAAAGACAACACCAGCCTCAATAAATACAGTTTAATTGCGAGTGAACGACTTGCAAATACCCTGTACCCAGCTTGGGTGAACTTGACCCAAACGTAAAGTACTTACTACCTGCAGTTGATTTAAATTGCGAAGCTTTATCTTTA